TTGTACCTTCTGAGAAAGATCTCAAACTCAATAAAGCTCACATTATGACAGACAGACTTACAGTCGGGAGGATTGCTGGGGAGCAACCTAAGAGCAGGACGGTCAGATGGTCCAGGAACCGAAGGAGTAGCGACAGTCGCGAGAACAGCAGGAGAAATTTGGGACATGACGATTTTGCTACTAATGATAGATATCGTCAGCCAGGTACTCGAAGCAATTTCATCGATTCTCGGGATCCTACTAGCAAACCTGAAGTTTTAAGAAGCAGACAGGATAAAGGGAAGTTCAGAGAGTCAGAAATGAGAGATAGAAGTGGAGAAAGACGAAAGATGGACATACCGATAATTGGAGATAAAAGTGATGAAGTAAAAGGAAAGATAGAGAAGAGTCAGTCGTCGGTACCGGTGAGTGGTAGCCACGTGTCAGAGCGGAGCCCCGCAGGGGGCCCCACAGAAATTCATTTCACGATTTCACCTACCACTACTACCACACACATAACACTCAATATTTCATCATTACTACCTTCTACACCATCACAAACCTTGCCGTCGCCATCGATAAATCGTCCGGGACTACTGCAGAGTCGTGCATTGTCCCGTGGGGGAGTGTTAGCCGATAGAATCGGGCCAGGACGGCCGAACCGCCGTTAGAATTACCCCTTCCGTCGAATATTTCTCCGTTCAACTTATCCTCTGAACTTTATTCGATCGTCTCTGGTTTAATGCGTGTGAGTGGAATGTGATAAGTATAGAGACATGTAGAATTGATGCATGCTCTTTTTCCCCTCTGTATCATCATCTAATTATAAGTTAACATTCCGGTGCATCAAATAGGATATCATAGTAGGACGTAGGTAAACTGTCACGAAGTGACAAGACAGTTTGATAGTGATAGTGATATGATGGGTTGGGTATTTAACCAGCGACCGGCGGTATGCAGTAACCGCCGGTTAATAGGCCTTTTAGCACAGTGGTTTAGACCGCTGCCTCTGAAGGGCACTGTTATATCGTCCCAATGCTGGTTAGTTGGTCTCGTGACAGATTAACCGGCGGTTACGGGTAGGATCCTGGGTTCGACTCCCAGGGTGGGCTGGGTCGAATTCAGTCCCTACTTGGAAAACCTCCCTCTCGGAGAAAGTTTTCGGCCTATCGTACCCTTCCCTGTTGGGGCCCCAGATGGGGCTGAAAGGGAAGGCATAATGTCACGAAGTGACAAGACAGTTTGATAGTGATAGTGATATGATGGGTTGGGTATTTAACCAGCGACCGGCGGTATGCAGTAACCGCCGGTTAATAGGCCTTTTAGCACAGTGGTTTAGACCGCTGCCTCTGAAGGGCACTGTTATATCGTCCCAATGCTGGTTAGTTGGTCTCGTGACATAAACGCAGATATGGCATCGTAGGATATCAGTGGTAATCGGTGGGATGCATGGCAATGCATGCAGGACAGTGCAGGACGATTCAGAGCGCTCGTATTCCGCAGGTCTGCACGAGCCTCTTGGAAAAGGCTGATTTTAGTATTTAAACCCTATCTAGTACTGTAGTTTCTTCTTCAGCAATGTATCTTTTCAATTCCCTTCCCCTCGTTTGATAAGTCACTCAGTTGGTTCTAACCCAACCTCTCGAACCCTCAGTACCTAAGGCAGTCACCAAGGTCCACGAGCCAGAGACTAAACCCCTCAGTTCCCAAGGCAGTCCTTTGCTACCGCAGTCTACCCGCAGGCGTGACATGTCTTTTGCTTCTAATTTTCGACTGGGTCGTTCCGTCGTAAGATACTTCGTACTCAGTAGTACCTGTTCTCCCTCTCTGAATTCTTCTGGAATGCTCTTGTGCCTCCTGTTGTAATATTCCCCACTAATCTCATTAGCCATCCTGACCTGTTCTTGAACAGCCGCATGTAATTCTCCCATATCTCTCCATTTCTTCTCCAACTTGTTTGACTTCGATCGAATATCGTGCAAATGGATATCGTAGTGTGGCACATAGCCGTAACAGGCTTCAAAGGGACACAAACCGTGGCTACTATGTGGCGAACAGTTATAGGCAAACTCAGCAATTGGTAGAAGTTGATCCCAGTTGTCCATGTTGTAGTTTATATACATCCCGAGCAGGATTTCCATATGTTGATTTACTCGCTCAGTTTGTCCATCTGTTTGAGGGTGATACGCAGTTGAATATAAGTTCTTTATTCCCAAGAACTGACATATCTCCTTCCAAATTTCCGCTGTAAATTGAGTCCCTCTATCTGATACAATTGTTCGAGGTACTCCATGTTTTGAAAAGATCTCCTTGATGTAGATGTCGGCCACTTTGTTCGCTGTTAGTCCAGTTGTACATGGAATAAATCTAGCCATCTTGGTCAGTCGATCGACTATCACTAGTATCGCGTCGAACTCGGTCGATTTTGGTAGGGGTCCCACCATATCCATAGAGATATCTGTCCACGGGAGTGTGGGTACTGGTAAAGAGACTAGATGTCCATACGGCTGATGTCGATGAGTCTTATGTCGGTCACAGATCTCACATCCTTTTACGTATTTCGCAATATACTCGTCCAAATGTGGCCAGTAATAGTCCTCTTTGACCATGGTGATAGTTTTGTCTCTTCCTGGGTGACCCACTAGTATCGAATCGTGTCTTGCTTTCATTACTTCTAATCTTGCCTGTCCCTCTGGTATAACTACTCTGTTTTTGTACAAGAGTAATCCGCTCTGTGTCCATGATACTATTGGTGTCTCGCTGCTAGCCTGTGTCTTCTGTGTGTCCTGTGTCTTCTGTGTGCTCTGTGTGTTCTGTGTGTTCTGTGTGTTCTGTGTGCTCGGTTTGCTATGTGTCTGTGTCATTTGCAGTCCTAGTTGTCGTATGTTTGCTATGTCTTCTGAATCTTTCAGTCCGTTCTTGATGAGTCCGAATAATGAGTCTTCCCCGGATTGCTCCTCTTACTATGTGTCTTGGTCCTTTGTGTTCTGAGTCCATCGAATTCGATTCAATTTGTTCGTGTGTCGGTAGCAATTGTAGCCAGTTACCTTTGTTTAGGTCTGGGTCCTTGCTACTCCTTCCCGGATGATAATCTCCTCGTCTAGTCAGAGCATCTGCTCCCCCATTTTTGCTGCCTGGTCGGTAAGTGATCTCTATGTTGAAGTCTCCCAATATTTCCAACCATCTCATCTGCCTTCGATTTAGTTGTCGTTTGCTTTGGAAGTATTCTAGGTTCTTGTGATCAGTAATGACTTTTATAACATCACTACTGTTGGCCAAGTAGGGCCTCCAGGCGACCAAGCAGTCCACGATGGCTAGTAATTCTTTCTCTCCTACCGTGTAGTTTAGTTCACAGGGTGTCATTGCTCGAGACCAATACGCAACTGGGTGAAGTTCGGTGGTTCCTTTTATTGATGGGTGAGGGAATCTTTGAGACGCTATTGCACCTATCGCGCAGTCGGATCCATCGGTTTCGATCCAAGTCGGTCGGGTCCTATCAAAATGTCGAAGTACTGGTGCTGTGGTGAATGTTTTCTTTAGATCGTCAAAAGCCTTTTGGCATTCTTGTGTCCAGTTCCAAGCTTGATCCTTCCTGGTCAATCGTGTGAGAGGTCCCACAATATGCAAAAACCCCTTGATAAACCTTCGATAGAAATTCGCAAAGCCCAAGAACACTTGAGTATCCCGGACTGTCATGGGTTCTCCCCATTCTAGAATGGCTTTCACCTTTTCTTGATCCATTTCGATCCGCTCGTGTCCTATTACATACCCCAGGAACTTCACTTCATTCGAACTCCATTCGCATTTCCTCGGACTGACGACCAAATCGTTTTCCAGTAGTCGATCTAACACCTTTTGGACAATTATCTGATGGTTTTCGATCGTGTCGGAGTATACCGTGATGTCGTCAATATAAACTACTACCCCTTCGTCAAGTAGATTGTGAAACATGTCTTGTAGGAAGTTCTGAAAGGTGGCTGGTGCATTACACAACCCATCCCTTAGGACTGTGCTCTCAAAACTGCCGTATCTTGTTCGTAAGGCAGCTTTATGTTCATCTCCTTCCTTTATTCTGACTAACTGGTAAGCCCCTTTCAAATTGAGTTTAGTGAAGATCCTTCCCAATTGAAGTCGATCGAGTAGTGTCGAGATGAGTGGCATTGGGTATGAATCCTTAACGGTTACCTTGTTAAGCGCCCGATAATCCGTTACCACTCGATAGGGAATCACTCCCTTTTTTGGAACCAGGAATACAGGAGATCCATAAGGTGATTTACTTCCTCGTAGATGGCCGCTGGCCAAACCGTCGTTGATCCACTGCTTCAGGAATGCATCCCCATGTTCATCCAGTTGGTAGATTGGTCCTGGTTTTAGTTCTGCTCCGGGGGTCAATTCGATCTCGTGATCACATTCTCTTCTTGGTGGTAGTTTTCTGGCTCGTTCCACTTTGAATAGCTCCAGGTATTGGTGCCATTGTGTCGGTATGACTTGTCGTAACTCTTCTTCGCTCATCTCATCTTCTCCTTTTTCCAATGCTGTTCCTCTTATCAATCCTTCCTCCAACCTCGGATACTTCCAACCGTTATCTTGTCCGATTCCGTCGAACTCGATCAATCCCTTTCCACAATCGATCCTTGCCCTAAACTGTTTCAAGAAATCCAATCCCACCAGTACCTCGGGGCCTTCGTATGCCATCACATCCAATTGAGTCGCAATCTTGAGTCCTTCTCCTAAATCCAATTCAGCTTCTACATACTCGGTCACTAACGTCGCGGTTGTTCCATCGAGGAACCTGATCTTCCGTGGTTCCTGATACTGTCTTTTTGGGAATAAATGGTATAATGGACAGGCCGGCTGTACGTATCTTCCGGTAGCTCCGGTATCAATCAACATTCCAAATTGTAGGGTATCTTCTTCTGTCTGTATTTTTATGTATATTATAGCCGAGTCATTACTGAGATCTATTGGTAGTTGAATTTTGTGCGATTCTGTTAGATCCTGGCCGCAAGTGGTCGCATCACTTAGGCCAGGTATTCGTTTCCCTCTTCTTCAAAGGTCACCGCCATTCCCCGAACTAATGGCCCTTTGGATCCGGTTGGGATCGAGTTTGATCCACTAGGAATTGGTGAGCTATGCGGGTTTGGGGATCCCCTAATGTTGTTCCTCGTATTTCCTCCATTTGGACAGTTGTTGGTGTAATGTTCTGGACTTCTACATTTGAGACGACGTCGGTTCTCCCTCCTCCAAGTCATTTCGTTCTCGCTGAGACGTCCTCCGTCCTCTGTCCAAGTGACCGGAGGGTCATTTGGTAGACCATAATTCATCATCCCTGGTTTTCCACCGGGCAAGGGTCCTCTACCAGTCGATTGTGAGTGGCGTTCTACCGGGTTGGGCGGACTAGTATCCAATCGCATCGAATTCGATCGAGGGGGAAGCCAGGTCGTCTCATGTTTGCGTCTAGCAGCCCATCGATTCGCTGCAATCATCGTTTCAGCCATCCGTTGGTTCTCCTCAGTCCCTATCACATGCTGTTTGAAATAGATCCAGTCCGATTTGGTTCGAGGGTCGGTGTTATTTACCACTACCACCTTCAGTAGCTCTTCCTTCAGGCCCTGTATGGCTGAGGCGATTTTCATTGCATCTGGTACCTTTCCAAGGTGTGTGGACCAAAGTTCAAAGTTGGCAAAATACTCGGCGGCCGTATCAGTCTGTCTTAACTCTTGCAATTTCCTCATAGCCGTACCTGCCATGTTACTGTCTCCAAATTGAGTTCGTAAATGCTGGATGAATTTGTCGTAGCTCTCTAGCCATTCGGTCGAATTCCATATACTTGGATTGGTTATGGCCGGGGTTAGAAGCATTTGAGGAGTGCCTCGAAGATACCCGTACATGAACAGGATCTTTCTGCGATCGGTGGCATACTCTGCCCCTTTGAATTCGAAGTTCATGTGGCATGCTGCAAGGAAGTTGTCCAATTCTCCTCGTTCTCCACTGAAGGTAGGTGGATCCGCACACCTGGTTTTTCCTGTTCATTCGTTGTTGGTAAGTTTTGGCTCCAAATACGGCTTGTTTTCTTCGATTTCGATCGAACTTGCCCCTTTCGATGTGAGTAGCTGTTGGTTCTGTCAGTCAGCTTTCATCGTAGCCAGTTCTTCCCTTAATGCATTTTGTTCCTTTTGTTGCATTGTCATAATGGCTAACAATTGTGACAACTGCTGCGATAATTCATTTAGCGGATCTGGGGTAGTGGTGGTAGAAGTGAAATCATGTGAAATGGTACTTCTCGAAGAACTTGTTGGTATTTCTTCCTCTGGGACCAGCCCTTGTTCCAACTCCTCTTTTTCTGGTATCATTTTCCGCGCTTTCCCTCTGGTGAGCATACAGCACTCTCCGATTCGACCCAAGGTGCGTAAGGCTGATTCTTCAACTTGTAACGGTACTGGAAACACGACGACTAAGTCGCAGGTTGGGTCGAACTCGATGGATGTCTCGTGGAAATCTAGGGGCTCTGGTGCTAATGAATCGTGTCTCCTCTGCAATCAATGTAGCCAAAGAATGATATTGAAGAATCAGCAAAGTTGGTACCTTGCTGATTGTACTATATACTGTCTACAGGTATCCGTCTCCTCTTCTCAGTCCTACTGCAAGCGTCTATGTACATACTTGGACAGGTAAAAAACCGCTTTTGAGCAAACCCAGTGGGAAAATCTCGAAAGGGGAAAACCCGTCCCTACCTACTGCAGCACTGCCTCCAACTCCCGCTTTCCTCTATCCTAATCCGTCGAACTTGATAGAGTTCTCTCGATTCGTTGTTACCCCGTAACAGTAGCGAGCAGACATGTCGCGTCGTTGTGGTGCAGTTCGGCGTTACTAAAACCCCGATCAGTGGCGAGTTCATGTGTGACGCGTCGTCGGGGTTTCAGTAGCCCCGAGGCCTATGTGTACCTGACCACGTGTTGTGGCAGGTTGTGCCCCAAGTGAACTAGGGGTGTGCCCCAAGTGGACGTCGCCTGGCTCTCAGGTCATAACCCCACCTTTACAGAGCGGCAACCTCATTCCATCCACCTTTTTCTTTCTTTCCCTTCCATTTCTTGGTTCTACCTTGCTGATTTGAGGAGGCAGGAACTGAGCAGTCTACCACCCAATGATCAACTGATCCACATCAAGCACAGGGATGTTCCTTACTTGGTCCTTTCCCTGCCTTCTTCAATCCAGCATAGAACACCATGAGCAAATCTTTGTCTGAGCAAGCAGCTGAGATTTGTCGCCAAGAGAGTGAGAAAGCTTGAGCTGCTAGAGGTTTGTCATTTGCTTGGTTCCTCTGACCTGCATGCACTCAAAGGATTTGATCTTGATGTCTACCACAGATGGTGTATCATATTCATAGATAGAAATAGGAGTTACGGCTTCAACCTGCGGCTTCATATGTACCAGGGAAGTCGCATTGCGTTCCATGTCTCCCGGCCTAGTTTCTGTCTACTCTGAGGATGAGGAACCACCCTGACAATCTTGGATATCCTTATTCCCCTTCCTCTGTGTGAGCCTCTCAAGAAGGGAAATGTCATGACCGAGTAGCGAGCCCGCGAACGTAAACCGTCCTAAAAGAGTCAATATCGACTCTGCTAGTGAGATCTGATCTTGCTATACGGACTGGTAGTGACAGGAAAGGTCCGAGATGATTGACCGTGTATGAATGAGTGGTGTCAAGCATGGACGGGAGATTCCTCACCAGTGGGAAGGCTTTTTGGGTGATTGCCCTCTATCAAATGATTCTTTCTCATGATGCCAGTCTTCCTCGTTATGTCATCTCTTCCCATCTCTCCTCATGGTGTCATCTTTTCTCATGATGTCATGTCTTCTCATGATGTCATGTCTTCTCAGGATGTCATGTCTTCTCTTGAGGTCATGTCTTCTCTTGAGGTCATGTCTTCTCTTGATGTCATGTCTTCTCATGATGACATCCCTTCTCATGATTCATTCATCTCCATGATGTCATTTCTTTCCCAGATTATCAGCGTTTCCCAGGCTGTGGACGTCCCCCCGCCACTTTGCAGCTATATTACGGCCAGCTATTCCACCCACCTCCGGCGCTCTTAACCTATCTCGATAATCCACGGAGATGGTGTTTGAATTACGATTGCCTTTGGTTCCTCGGAGTCAGGACATCTCGTACTCCGAAACCATTGAGAAGGAGAAACCGCCTCTGCCCCCTTCGACCGGGGCTGCAAGTGAACATCACTTCACATCCTCCATTTTCGTATCAGGTGATGGTGAAGGTGAGTTCCGTACAAGGACCTTGCTCAATCAATTATTGTTTCGCCATTGGAATGTTGACGGCTCAAATCTAAAGATTATCCCACTCAGCGACATTGAGAGTTCTGTGGACTTCAGAAGCTACTTGCAGCAACAACTCTACTCAGCAATGCCTGAAATGGAAAGTAAAGTTGAGTATGACCTTCTTACTTCCTTAGCAGATAAGCCAAAGCCTCTGAAGCCGCTAGTGACTGCTGCTAGAAGGCAGTGTGAAAAAAACAGTCTTGCACTGTCCAAACTACACAAGCACATACTAAGCGGGGACGGGCCCGATCCATCTGACCTGATTTCTTACCTCCTCCCTCAACTCATGTCAAATCTAGCAAATTTGGTGAGACAATCTATCCAAGCAGTGGAACATGAGGTTACAAGTTTTCTGACTGATACAAACCTTTTGTTCTTAGGCCTTAAAAACGCTTTGGAACCAGGTGAAGAGAAGCTTCAAGAGATATTGACAGATGCATCAAATCTGGAGGTCAATCTCAGGGAAGAGGTGAAGCAAGCAACTGCTTATTTGGAGGCAGCAGCTACATTCCTGGACGGACTTTCCTCAAGGTTTCAGATGGTTTTGAACCTCCCTAGGCCTACACCTCATAATGCATTAGCCTCAAACCCATCAATGTTAACGCTTATAATTAGATGATAATACAGAGGGGAAAAAGAGCATGCATCAATTCTACATGTCTCTATACTTATCACATTCCACTCACACGCATAAAACCAGAGACGATCGAATAAAGTTCAGAGGATAAGTTGAACGGAGAAATATTCGACGGAAGGGGTAATTCTAACGGCGGTTCGGCCGTCCCGGCCCGATTCTATCGGCTAACACTCCCCCACGGGACAATGCACGACTCTGCAGTAGTCCCGGACGATTTATCGATGGCGACGGCGAGGTTTGTGATGATGTAGAAGGTAGTAATGATGAAATATTGAGTGTTATGTGTGTGGTAGTAGTGGTAGGTGAAATCGTGAAATGAATTTCTGTGGGGCCCCCCGCGGGGCTCCGCTCTGACACGTGGCTACCACTCACTACTGACGACTGACTCTTCTCTATCTTTCCTTTTACTTCATCACTTTTACCTCCAATTAACGGTATGTCCACCTTTCGTCTTTCTCCACTTCTATCTCTCATTTCTGACTCTCTGAACTTCCCTTTATTCTTTCTGCTTCTTAAAACTTCAGGTTTGCTAGTAGGATCCCGAGAATCGATGAAATTGCTTCGAGTACCAGGCTGACGATATCTATCATTAGTAGCGAAATCATCATGTCCCAAATTTCTCCTGCTGTTCTCGCGACTATCGCTACTCCCTCGGTTCCTGGACCGTCTGATCGTCCTGTCCTTAGGTTGCTCCCCAGCAATCCTCCCGACTGTAAGTTTATTACTGTTCGTCATGTCATGAACTTTATTGAGTTTGAGATCTCTCTCAGAAGGTACAATTTGAACTGGGGATCTTGAAATCGAACCTCGATAAACATTTCCTTTTGCTAGGGAACGCTCTATTGGAAGGTGGTGGTACCCATGCGAGGGTACAAGAGATCGTTGATACTGTTGACTCTCTCCACGAAAAGATCGAGGCTGTCCTCGGTGGTTATAAAGTCGCTGGTTACCAGCCCAAGTTCCCGAAATTCGTGGATTTGACGATGGAGGTTGAGTAGAACCTCCACTATGTATCATCTTATCCCTTCTCTCACTCTTCTCTTTCATCTCTCTAATGACTCTAGGTTCTACCGGTGGTTTTTGACCTATCTTCGAATTACTCACATTCTTAGGTACACCTGAAAATTTTACATTTTGGCTCACGAGAACTTTTCCTTCGGTGGGTTTCTCTGAAGTTCCTTCCACCCACACTTCTCCTTCTGGTACTACTTCTCTCTCTGGTACCACTTCGTTCTCTGTACCACCTGACAGATCTCCTAGATCCTCGAAATCAGAATAATCGTAATCGATGATTTCATCATCATCTAATGTCACGTATACTGAACCAGTGTTTTTCTTCTTCGGTGGTTCTACACGTATCGCTGACATATTCACCGAGTGTACTGGTCCACCTAAAGCTTTCGTAAGTACATCTGCTCTCTGATAGACAGTGCTGACGTATGCTAGTTCAATAACTTTATTACTGACTAGATCTCGAAGAGCATGATGTCGAATATCGATATGTTTTGTCCTCTGGTGAGTACCAGGTTTTCTCGCCAGTGATATCGATCCTTGGTTATCGCAGTTTAATGTAGTAGGATTTAGCTGATCATAGCCTATCTCCCTCAATAATCCTCTCAACCACTGAGCTTCCTTCGCTGCTTCAGCCATCGCGATGTATTCTGCTTCGACTGTCGACGACGATACTGTAGCTTGTCTTTTTGAACTCCAGGTTATCGGTGAGTTGTTCATCATGAATATCCAACCTGTAGTTGATCGTCGTGTGTCTTTACAACCTGCCCAATCGGCATCAACCCATCCTGCTAGATCGCTAGCCTCGCCACCGAGACGAATACCATGTAAACGAGTGGACCGAAGGTAGGTAATTACCATTATCCCTTCTTCCCATACTTTCTTCGTCGGTTTAGTGAGGTACCTAGCAAGGTATGAGGCGGCATATGATATGTCGGGTCGAGTACATGTGGCTAACCACTGTAGACATCCTATTAATTCTTGAAATGGTCGAATTTCACTCTCCACCTCCGACATCGATGGATTTTTCGCAGTAAGGGGTAATGGCGTTTTTCGGTCTCGATGTAAGTCGTTTTCTGGAAACTTCTGAATTATCTTATCGATATATGCTGGTTGGTTTAACCATATTGTCTTTTCTTCTCTGTTCCTTGTTACCTTCATACCTAAGATAGTACTTATCTCCCCCAGGTCGGTTATTATCCACCTTTTACCTAGCCCATCGAAAATTTCCTTCGCTTCTTCCTTCGACTTCGTGGCTAATACCAGATCATCGACATAGGCTAGCAGTATTGCTGCTCCCTTTCCTTCGATTTTCCCTTCTGGTCTGTAGTAAAGACCCCAATCTGATTCGATTCTTGAAAAACCTAGGTGAGATAATCCTTCCCCGAGTTCAATCCACCATGTTCTACCAGATTGCTTTAACCCGTAAAGAGACTTGACTAACTTCAAGGTATTACATCCAGGCTTCGGTTTTATCCCCTTGGGATACTTCATGTAAATTTCTACATCGAGTTTACCGTTTAAATACGCCCCTTCGACATCGGCCTGACGAATTTCGAGATTACTAGTCAAACATTGATCATGGAGCCCCA